CACTCACCTCAGCCTCCCAAAGGCGCGGGATTATAGGCTGAGCCACCGAGCCCAGCTTGCTTCTGATTTTTATCAGGGTACTTTCTGTGGTAGTTTGAATATAGTCTTACAATACTCTAAGTCTCTAGAAACCTGATTCAGCATCTCTGAAAACTAAGTAACCCTAGGTAAAGTATAATCACATCTGAGAAAGAGAAAGTGGTATGGAATCAAGAACTTTGAAATACTTTTTCCTAGGTGGCTTAGCCTGTAATCCCATGCCTTTGGGAGGCTGAGGTGAGTGGATTGCCTGAGTCCACGGGTTCGAGACCCGCCTGGGCAGCGAGACCTCATCTCTACAATAAATCAAAAAAATCAGCCAGGCGTGGTAGCGCATGCCTGTAATTCTGGCTACTTGGAAGGCTGAGGCGGAAGGATCGCCGGAGCCCAGCAGGTCGAGGCTGCGGTGGCTGGGTGCAGCCACTGCACTCCAGTCTGGGCGACAGAGAGAGACTCTAACTCAAAAAAAAAGTACTTTTCCTTGGGACATTCCTGCTTATCTTTGTTTCATGAGAATAACAGGCAGGTGAAGTTTTAAGATACTTTTCCTAAAAGAACCGTCCAGATGGTAACTACTATTTGCAATGAATATGATTTGTTAAGGAAACTTAAAAGCCGGGCTCGGTGGCTCAGCCTATAGTTCCAGTGCTTTGGGAGGCCGAGGTGAGCAGATTGCCTGAGCCCGCGGGTTCGAGACCTGCCTGGGCAACTTGGTGAGACCGCATCTCTACAATAAATCAAAAATTAGCTGGGCATGGTAGCATGCGCCTGTACTTCCAGCTACTTGGAAGGCTGAGGCGGAAGGATCATCGGAGCCCAGCAGGTGAGGCTGCGGTGGCCGGGAGCGGCCACTGCACTCCAGTCTGAGCGACAGAGTGAGACTCCAACTCAAAAAAAAAAAAAGAAACTTATAAGACTGCGTGAGAATTGCATATAGTGGTGAGCTCCTTACAACCTGCATGCTGGTTGTAAATTACTGCTAACATTTGGATTTCCCAAATCCTGACAAACTCAGTACTAATATTAGGAAAAAGCTTTAAGGTGCCATTGAGTAAAATGTCCATCTTCTTTTTTTTTTTTTTGAGTTGGGATCTCTTTCTGTTGGCCAGGCTGGAGGGCAGTGGGATGATCATGGCTCACTGCAGTCTTGATATCCCGGGCTCAGGAGATCCTCAGCTTTCCAGGTAGCTGGGACTCTAGGCACATGTCACTACACTCAGCTAATTTAAAAAATTTTTTTGTAGAGACGATGTCTCACTATGTTGTCCAGGTTGGTCTTGAACTCCTGGGCTGAAGCAATTCTCCAGCCTCGGCATCCCAAAGTGCAGGGATTACTGGCATGAGCCACTACACCTGGCCTGAAATGTCCATCTTAAAGTCAAATTGTAACCTGAAACAGTCCTTAAGCTTAAATTTCTGAGAACTATCTACCACTAAAAATCATAGTTAGGCTGGCAGCATAGTGAGATCTCACCTCTACAAAAAAATAAGAAAATTAGCTAGGCATGATGGCATGTGCCTGTAGTCCCAATTATTTGGGAGGTTGAGGCGGAAGGGTCTCCTGAGTCCAGGAAGTCGAGGCTGCAGTGAGCCGTGATTGTGCCACTGCACTCCAGGCTGGGGACAGAATGAGACCCCCGACTCAAAAAACAAAACAAAACAAACAAAAACATCATCAATGAATATTTGTTCACCCACAATTAGACTTTATGACCTTGGTCTCAAAAGGAAAATAGGAAAAAGCCAGAATTTAATAATTCTAGACAGAGATTTAAAGGATTTTCTCCCCATTGCTCCAACCCCCTCACCAACCATTACTGCAATACATTTAGTCTTCTTGAATGTTAGATGAATACAATGTTTTCCCTGGTCTTTAAACCATAACTTCTATAAAAGCTGGGTGTACAACTCTGCAGGATAAAGTTGTAAAGATGCACTGATTAGAGTGGTTCAGACTAAAACTAAATAGCTGCAAGTGCTTACCTTGGGGGTGCCCAATCATGCCGTGTACAGTCAAGAAGTGTACCTACATATGTCTTGTTCCTCCACGTTACATTTACCACCAACATCCCTGGAAAATAAAAACACACAGATATAGACAAGACAAACCCTGTTGGCCACTGAGAAGAGTATTATTCTTCTGAACAGTACTCTGACTTCTTTTTTTTTTTTTTTTTGAGTTGGAGTCTCACTCTGTTGCCCAGACTGGAATATAGTAGCACGCCCCCAGCCACCGCAGCCTTGACCTGCTGGGCTCAGGCGATCCTTCCGCCTCATCCTTCTAAGTAGCTGGAACCACAAGTAGTGTGCCACCACACCTGGCTAATTTTTTGATTTATTGTAGATGTGAGATCTTGTCAAGTTGCCCAGGCTGGTCTCGAACCCCGGGACTCAGGTAATCCTCTCACCTCTGCCTCCCAAAGTGCTGGGATTATTGGCATGAGCCACTGTGTCCAGCTTCATTTTCTTTAAAAATTATACAATATTTCTGAAAAAAGTACAACCAATAACCTGTAACGAAAACCCATGTACCCACCTCCTAGCTCAATGGATTTAGTAAAATTTTGTGCCATACCTGCATCAGATTTCTTTCTTTTCTTTTTTTTTTTTTTGGGAGTTGGAGTCTCACTCTGTCACCAGACTGGAGTGCAGTGGCCG